GCAGCTAGGGGAGGGAGAGAAGTTCCTATGACCTGCAGTGGCTTTTGAGAAATGATGGCCATGACCCTGGGGTTACCTCCAGGGTCTGGCCCCTCCCTCACCAGCCTCAGCTCCCAAATTCTTCCAGATTAGGGCCTTCTGTTCAAAGGCAAGCTCTTGGTGCTTCCCCATCTTCTTTCTCTAACACAGACTCCTGCCTTTATCAGAGCTGCCTTTCTCTACTCCTTATTTGAATCACTTCCCTCCCTCCACCCACTGCCCCAGCATCCCACAAAATCCAGATCTAATCACAAGTTCTCTAGGGTGCCTTTTCTGGGTCCATGTCTCCTTCCCCATCTCCACTTACCTTCCTCTCCAGGAAAAAAAGGAGGGACCTTCTGGCAGGTGCCCAAGGGAAGGGGGATGGAGCTGGAGCATGAAGTGGAGGAGAGTCTCTTCACCTCAAAGGGCTGGGTGTCCTCCAACACTGCCTTGAAGCTGCCATCTTTCCACAGGTTACCACAGCCTGCAGAGCTCACAAGTCAAGGCTCTCTCTCCACCAGCCTCAGTGACTCTGGCCTTATAAAGTACAAGGCCCCGCAGTTTCCTACCTCATCTCCCTCCCACCCTACTTCCAGTGCTCCAGCCATTCCCAGCAGGAAAAGCTGGGCCCTGCTGTCTGGTCTCCAGGCCTTGGCTACTGCTGAACCCACAGGTTGATTCTCCTTTCTCTCATAATCTGGCAAACCCCTGCTCACCTCTCCAGACAGCTCATCACCACCTTCTCTGTAGGATCATCCCTTACCCCTTCCCTCAGGCACAGAAAAGTGGAATTATTAGCTACAAAAAATATATACAGTTGAAATAGAGAACGCAATAGATGGGATAAATAGTAGGTTGAATACAGATGAAGAATGAATAAGTGAATTGGAAGATCAGATCGAGGAATTCTCCCAGAAAGCAGCAGGGAAGAATAAAAATATAGAAAATATTAATTAAAAAACCAAGAGAAATGGAAAATAGAAGTGCCAGCATCTTGATAATAGTCTCAGAGAAAGTGTAAGACTAAACAAACAAATAAATGAGAGGAGAAAATATTTGAAGAATGGAGATAAACATCCCAGGAGTAAAGTTCACTGGGTACAAAATCAATTTGCAAACATCAATTGTATTTTTGTATATAAGCAGATACAGTTAGAAAATAAAAATTTTAAATTACCATTTAAATGGCATTTAAAAATCGGTTACTTAGAAATCCTAGAAATACATCTGAGGACATGTAAGTTCTTTAATGGAGAAAACTATATAACTTTAAAGAGAGATTAAAGAAGATGTAGATAAACGGAATGATATACCATGTTCATAGGCTGGTGAACTCAATATTACAAGGATGTCAGTTCCCCAAATTGATCTACAGATTCAATGCAATTCCAGTTAAAGCATTGATGGGTTGTTATTGTTTTGTGGAACATGACTGATTCCAAAATTTATAGAGAATTGAAAAAGGCCAAAAATAGCCATGACTCCTGAAGAAGAACAATATGGGAGGACTTGCTTTATCAGATGTTCAGATTTTTTAATAAAGCTATAGTAATTAGGATCGTAGTATTGGCACAAGAGTAGAAAACTAGCCTACTTGGACAAACAGCTCAGAAAAAGACCCATGCATATTTGCAAACTTGATTTAACAAAAATGTGGCACAGTAGAGCAATGGTACCAGGGCAGTCTTTTTAATAAATGGTGTTGGGACAACTGGGTGTCCAAATAGAAAAAAAAACGCTAAATTGGATGTTTACCTCACATCATATATCGGAAAAATCAGATAATTCACAGATAGATTATAAACCTAAATGTGAAAAGCAAAGAAGATAACACAGGAGATATATTTTTGACTTTGGGAATAGTAAAAGATTTCTTAACAAGACATCAAAATTATTAACAATAAAAGGCAAGGACTGATAAAATTGACTACACTAAAAATAATAACTTCTTTTCTCTCAGAAACACCATAAACAGTGCAAAGGCAAATTACAGAATAGGAAAAAGTATTTGCATCACTTAAGCCATCAAATATTTCATATCTACATTATAAAATGTACAATTCAACAAGAGGGCAGATATCAACAGAAATATAGGCAAAAAGAGTCGAATGAGCATTTCACAAGAGAATACCTAAATGGCCAGTAAGTATATGAAAACATGCTCAACTTCATTAGTTATCAGGGAAATGACAATTTAAACCACATGAGATACCACTTCATGCTCCTTAGATTGGCAAAAGTGAAAAATTAACAGTACGAAAGATTGGTAAGGATGTGAAAGAACAGGGCCTCTCACACTCTGCCGAACCTAAAATTGCTCTAAAAAATAAAGTCTACTTTAAAAACAAGAAATCTCTATCTCTTCTAGTCACAGAACTGATGTAGCCTGAAATCAGACATAAAGCCAAATCCTGCAGGTTGCTGAATTACAATGCAGGTTGAGTTCACAAGATCTCCTGGTCCTTTATGTGAAACCAAAAGACCATTGATTGGGGGGAAAATGGGACCTTGAGAATTGGCATAGTAACATCAGGGTTGATTTGGATAGATTTGAGTTCCCTAAACCCCAACCACCACTAAGCCTCCCTTGGTGGCAAAGGCAGACTTCCTCCCCAGTCTAATGGGCTGAACCTGCATGACTTGGGGATCCTCTAATGATTTGGCTAATCTTTCTCACGATTCACACATATCACTTGTTGGTGTCTCTATACCCATTACTTGATTCAGATTCCTGCATGTCCCAGGGGAAGTAGAGTTGGACCTGTGAGGAGAAAGCCACATACACACAAAAATGATAAAATGTAGCTAACTGATATTGGCCGAAACCTCAGTAATATGTGTGGGAATTGATTCTATGGATGATAGATCAGAAAGAAATGTAACTAGATTGGGGCAAACTTTTCTTATTGTGGTAAAATATATATAACATAAAATTTGCCATTTTAACCATTTTTGAATGTACAATTAGGTGACATTAATTACATTCACAGTGTTGTGCAAACACCATCATTATCTAGTTCCAAAACTTTTGCAGCACCCCAAACACAAGCTCTGAACACATTAAGCAATAACTTCTTATTCCCCACTTCCCCCAGCTCCTGGTAACCTCTAACCTACTTTCTATATTTATGAATATGCCTATTCTATATTATTTCATATAAGTGGAATCCTACAATATTTGTCCTTTTGTATTTGGATTATTTCACTTAGAGTAATGTTTTCAAGATTCATCCATGTTGTAGCATGTGTCCGAACTTCATTCCTTTTTATGACTGAATATTCCAGTATATGTGTATACCCCATTTTGGTTTTTTATTCATCTGTTGATGAACACTTGGGTTGTTTCCACCTTTTGGCTATTGTGAATAATGCTGCAATGAGCATTGGTGTACAAGTATCTGTTTGAGTACCTGTTTTCAATTCTCTTGGATATATACCTAGGAGTGGAATTGCTGGGTCATATGGTAATTCTTTGTTTAACTTTTTGAGGAACTGCCAACTGTTTTACACGGTGGCTGTACCATTTTACATTCCCACCAGCAATGTACAAAGGTTCCAATTTCTCCACATCCTGTCCAGTGTTTTTATTATTATTATTATTATTATATATCCATCCTAGTGGGTATGAAGTGGTATCACACTGTAGTTTTGATTTGCACTTTCCTAATAACTAGTAATGTTGAGCAACTTTTCATGTGCTTGTTGGTCATTTGTGTATCTTCTTTGGGGAAATGTCTATTCAAATCCTTTGCCCATTTTTTTTTAAAGATTTTATTTTTTCTTTTTCTCCCCAAAGCCTCCCAGTACATAGTTGTGTATTTTTAGTTGTGGGTCCTTCTAGTTGTTGCATGTGGGATGCTGCTTCGACACGGCCTGACGAGCGGTGCCATGTCCACGCCCAGGATCCGAACCAGCGAAACCCTGGGCTGCTGAAGTGGAGCATGCGAACCTAACCACTCGGCCACGGGGCTGGCCCCCCTTTGCCCATTTTTAAATTGGGTTGTTAGCCTTTTTGTTGTTGAGTTGTAGGAGTTCTTTGTATATTCTGGATATTAAATTTTTATTAAATACATGACTTGCAAATATTTTCTTCCATTCTGTAGGTTGTCTTTTCACTTTCTTGATAATGTCCTTTGATGCACAAAAGTTTTTAATTTTGATTAAGTCCAATTTATATATTTTTTCTCTCATTGCTCATGCTTTTGGTGTCATATTTAAAAATCTGTTGCCAAATCTAAGGTCATGAAGATTTACCCGTTTTCTTCTAAGAGTTTTATGAGTGTAACTCATATACACCCATAAACCCATGAGGTTGTTGATCCATTTTGAGTTAACGGTATATGGTGTGAGGTAGGGATCCAACTTCATTCTTTTACATGTGGAAATCCAGTTGTACCAGCACCATCTCTTGAAGAGATTATCCTTTCCCCACTGAATGGACTTGTCAAAAACCACTTGGGAATTTTTTCTCTTCAAGATTGTTTTGTCTATTCAGGGCCCCTTACAATATCATATGAATTTGAGGATTGGCATTTCCACGTTTCTGCAAAAAAGACTGTTGGAATTTTGATAGGAATTGTGTTGAAGCTGTAGATTGCTTTGGGTAGTACTGACATCTTAATATAAAGCCTTCCAATCCATGAATACAGGATGCCTTTCCATTTATTTAGGTCTCTTTTAATTTCTTTCAGCAGCGTTTTCTAGTTTTCAATATGCAATTCTTTGGCCTCCTTGGTTAGATTTATTCCTAGGTAATCCTTTTACATACTATTGCAGATGGAATTGTATTCTTAATTTCATTTTTGGATTGTTCATCACTAGTGAATAAAAACGCAACTGATTTTTATGTGTTGATCTTGTACCCTGCAACTTTGCTGAATTTGTTTATTAGCTTTATGCCTTTTCTGTGCCTGAAATGCTATTTATGCATCAGTTGAGATGGTCATGTAGGTTTTTTCCTTTGTTCTATTACTGTGATGTATAACCTTGATCAATTTTCTGCTGTTAAACCACTCTTGCATTCCTGGGATAAATCCTACTTGAACTTAGTGTATAATCCTTTTAATATGCTCTTGGGTTTGGTTTGCTAGTATTTTGTTGAAGATTTTTGCATCTATAGTCATAAGGGATATTGGTCTATAATTTTCTTTTCCTGTGATGTCTCTATCTGGTTTTGGTAGAGCCAAACTTTTCAATATGGGTGCACTTAACCAGCAATCCTGGATGTACTGTGTTAGCTGAAGCATCTAGGAGTATTTCTAAGATTTGTTCTATTGATTGACTGAAAGCTGGACTCAACACTAGCCTGTGTTAAATAAGGCTAAGACGCCAGATGTAAAATGTAGTTGAAGGAATCTAAACGCTAGTGGTGCTGGTATAGCGGTGAGCATAGCCACCTTCCAAATGTTCAGGGCAATAAGAATGCTGGAATCAATTCATCATGTGTAACCCATTTAACTCACCCTCTAACTATGTGGACATTCCTTTCACATTGGCTTTGAGAAATATATTATGAGGTGTGGCAGAGACTAGCTCGATGGTCATTAAGCCTGTTTTCTCTTCCTCCTCAGGACAAATTTATACCACATTTTCCAGTGTCCCATGCCACTGTCTGAGTTCTAGCTAATGGAATGTGAGTAGAAGTAATGCACACTACATGCAGGCCTAGCTCATAGAAACCTCCCACATGGTCTTTCCATCCCAGCCAACCAGAAGAGGAAATGACAATAGTACAATGGTGATGACATTTTTAATATGGCAGACCATCTAGACAGAAGGTGCCTAGGCCCCTGAATCACCACTTAGAGGAGGGTAGCCCAACTATTAACACTTGTTTTGGAACATTACAGAAGCAAGAAAAGTAATCACAGAGATTTTTTTTCTGTCCCAGAAGCTAACTTGACCTTAACTAATACATCTGCGAGCACCACTATTCTTAAAAAACATTGTGGTGGGTTTTTTTCTGTAAGTTGCGGTCATGGTGAGAGATCATGATAATGGGCCCCCTGATTTCAATGGGGATGACAGAATCACCTCCAGAGACAATTTGGGTCTGGTTCCTATAATGGACAGCAGAGCCAGGGCAGTAGTCAGAATGGTTTGACCTGTGGGGATCTATAGTGGTGGCTAATTAAACATGGTTTCCCTTGGGTCAAAAGAGCTGAACAGCCTAACAAGGTCCTAGTTGATTTACATAACTAAAATAATCTAGTGTAGCAGACGGAGGCCCGATGTAGTCCCCAAAATGTAGAGTCCCAGCCTCTCCTCCAGTTCACAGACTAGATCCCCTTGAAGAAAGGGGAATGTCCACTTGAAGAAGGACCTTGCTATGCTTTTTCACAAGTGTGTGTGGTGAAACCCCCTCTTTGCTTTTCCCACAGAGTCCTGCAGCCAGTGTAATCGTGCCCTGGGGACAGGGAAATATCCAGACCTTTTCAAATAGACTAGGTACTGGTTCTGAGTTAATGTTAATTCCCAGTGACCTAGACTGTCACTGTGGTCCACCAGTCAGAGTAGGATCAGGTCATACATGAAGTGTTGGCCTGAGTCCTTATCATATTGGGGCCTGGGGGTCCCAAGTCCCATCCTGTGGTGATTTGCCCAGTTCCTGGACATATTATTGGAGGACACATGGTATAGATGGCATAAAGGGTAGTAGGGCTACAGCTGAAGAACTAATTAGTGAGTAGAAAGACCAGATTGAGGACCTCTTCTGGAAATCAGCAGCAAAATATAAAGACATACAAAATATTTTTTTAAAGACTAAAGAAATGGAGGGTAAAATTAGAAGTGGCCACGTCATGATAATAGGAGTCTCAGAAGCAGAGAAAAATAACAAATGAAAAAGCAGATCTACTTTGTGAATGAATGCCTGAGTGTAGGACACCATGTGACCTGTGCAAGCTGAGTTGCCCATGGTGAGCTTTGTGTTAACTGCCCCATCAAGCCATGAGCAGAAGCACTCCACCACCAAATAGAATAGGTATGTACAAGCAGGTCTAGAAGACCACAAGTAAGCTGCCTGAGTGGACCATACTCCCACTGGTTGTACTGCCATCCCTTTCTCACATCTGAGGCCTCATGGGGCATTACCTGTGACCAGATGACTAAGGGACACAATATTCAACCTTGGTTTACAGATAGTTCTTCATGATATGCTGGCACCAGCTGGAAGTGGCTAGCTGCAGTGTTATAACCCCACTTAGGGTTGATCCTGAAGGACAATGAGAAGGGAAATTCTCCCCAGAGTAGAAAGACTGTCTGGTCACATAGATGGTCAGAGGTATAGATCTCCACTGATTCATGAATAGTTACTAATGATTTGGCTAGACGGTCAAGGACTTGAAAAGAACGGGATTGAAGTATTCTTAATAAGGGGGTCTGGGAAGAGACATATCGATGTCCCTCTTGGAATGGGGACAGAGTGTGAGGATACTTGTGTCCCACATAAATAAGCACCAGAGGTAATCCTCTGTAGACGGGGATCTCAATCAGATGGACAAGATGTCCTATTCTGTAGACGTCAGCCAATCTCTATCCCTGTCACCCTTTTCCTTACCCAATGGACTCCTGAACAAAATGGCCAGGGTGACAGGCATGGAGTTTATGCATAGGCTCCACAATATGGACTTCCACCAAGGCCAATCGGGCTATAGTTACTGCTGAATGCCCAACCTGCCAACAGCAGAGAAACACCAAGCCCATCTATGGAATCATTTCCCAGTGGCAGCTGATTAGAGACAGCACAAAATGAAAAGAAGCCACTGGACCCCCAAAATTCTACTGGCAGGAAACAGACTGGGAAAACTACTTGGCTGCAAACATGTGCCACCTTTCATGGAAGGAAGGCAGAGAGGATGGGACCAAGTACCCAGAGAGCAGAGCCAAGAGCCATGGAGAATTATCCCTAGGCCTTAAAACCTAATCAAGGAACTTCCATTTGCCCAGTTGGATTTCAGAATGGCTATAGACCAGCAACGCCTTTGTCTCCCCCATTTTCCCCCCTTTTTGAACTGGAGTGTGTCACAGTTATCCTGTGCCTGTTCCACCACTGTATGTTGAGTGTGTTGGGGATAGATGTCTCTTAAGTTTCACAGATCTACAGGAGAAAAATAATACTTAAGGAACACACCTGAGGCACCTCATTCACACCTGGACCCAATTTAGATGAGATTCTGGACTTTGAGGCGATGCTGAAATGGAGTGAGACTTTTACAGACTTTGGGAAGGGGTGAATGAGTTCTGCACATGGAAGTGATGTGAATCATTGGGGGCCAAAGAACAAATTATAGTAGTCAGTCTCCAAGATGGCCCCCAATGATCCCCACCTCCTGGTATTCACATCCTTGTGTAATCCCTTCCCAAGTGTGGCCTGGACCTAGGTCTTACTCCTAGACTTACTTCTAAAGAGAATATTGCAAAAGTGATGAGATGTCACTTCAGAGATTGGATTATAAAGACTGTGACTTCTGTCTCACACTCACACAATTCTCTCTCTCCTCACTTGATTGGTCTGATGAAGCAAGTGGCCACATTGTGAGCTGCCCTGTGGAAAGGTCCACATGGCAAGGAACCTGAGGGTCACCTCTAGCCAACAGCCAGCAAGAATCTGAGGTCTTCTGTCCAACAACTGCAAGGAACTGAATCCTGCCAACAGCCATGTGAGTGAGCTTGGAAGGAGATCCTTCCCCAGTCATGCCTTGAGATAACTGCAGCCCCGGCTGACACCTTGATTGCAGCCTGTGAGAGACCCTGAAATAGAAACCCAGCTAAGTTGCACCCAGATTCCTGACCTACAGGAACTGTGAGATAAATGTCATTGCTTTAAGCCGCTAAGTTTTTGGAGTAATTTGTTACACAGCAATACATATCAAACACAGGCAGGCATGGAGGTTATGCACAAGTTCAGCAATAGGACTTCTACCTACTAAGGCCAATCTGGCTATAGCACTGCTGAGTTCCCACCTGCCAATAGCACAGATCAACACTGAGCCCTCACTATGAACTATTTCTTGAGGGCAGGCTGATTACTTAGAACCCCTTCTGTCATGCAGCACAGACTTGTTCACAGAGACTTGGTGGGAATCCCAACTCTGCCAGGCTGATATGCCTGTACTTCGAGGAGTCTGTTCCTGTAAGTCTGACAGGGACTTTATGAAATATCTCACATGGAGCTTGGCACCTAGGATGGGGTTCACAAGGGGCTGCTCCCTTCCCTTTCCTGGAACCTGAGTGCCCCAGGGACATGGGCCCTGTCTCTCTGCCTCGCAACCCCTCTTCTCCCACCATCACCATTTCAGGACTTCTGGGAAGCATGGTCAGTGTCTGCCCCTTCAGGGCCCCAGTGACCATGGACCTCAGTCCCCACTCTCATAGGGTAGCACTCTTACCAATGAGCTTTATGCAATGCAAAAGGAACAGTGTTCACATGCACACTGGGGCTCCAAATGCTGCTCTTGTCTCCCTCATTCTGAGCCCAGACTGTGCAGGCCCCTGACTGGAAGCAGGGACAGGGGACTCAAACCTGGGCCTTGCCTTCCCTCCCGAAGCTCCCAGTCTGGGGAGCTTGGGGGTGGGAGAGACAAACCCATTAACCCTAGAGGGTTTCAGACACCACATAAGGCATAGTGGAGGCACTAGGGTGTGGGAAAGAAGGAGTCGGCTGGACCTGAGGGAAGGGGCTGGGAAAAGTCCTTAGTGGAAGTGAGTCTCTTCCCACCCCCTTGTCACCTGCAGACCCAGGAGCCACCCTGAGGGCTGTGGCAAACTCTGGGAGGATGCTGCAGCAAGGCAGTGTCTCTACAGTAGAAAATGACTTTGAAGTGAAAAGATACCCTCTGTTTTCCTAATCCTCTTTCTCCCCATCTGGAGCCCCCCTGAGGCAGTCACACCTCCCTTTCTAGGCAAGTGCCTGGGAAAGGGGGACAGATCTGCAACCAGAGCTCCTGGGATGCACGCCCACCATGAGGAATGGGGCAGGGCAGTGCCAAGATGTGAAAGGCCATGTGGAAATGGCTGAGGGCTGGGTCCATATCCTAGAGGACCCCAGCCTGGGCCTCACAGTTCTCTAGCCTGGGAGCTACTACAGTTGGTAGGCACCCTCTTCGTCTCCTGTCAGGCCACTTCTTCTGGGGCATGCCTGCCTTGGGGCAGGGAGCGGTAGTGAAGTGCTGAGCCTGAGCCCCTTCCTGGCCCTGTCCCACCTCTCACATCTCAGTCTCTTCTAAGGTCATCTCCAACCCTCTTTTCATGATCAATTCCATATAGGCAGGCAGACAAAGACCAGCCTTTTCCCCTGGACTGAGGTCTAGGGTCGAACTGGGCCCAGGACAGGGGTATCCACCAGCCCCTGCCTCCCCTTACTTGTATGGCCCAGTGCCTCCTGACTGCAAGACGGGATACAGGGCTGAGCCAGACCCACTACCAATCAAAGCTGTCAAGACGGTGGGCTTTCTCACTCATCACTAGGTTCCTATTAACTGGAAGTCTTGGTAAGGGGGAGAAGTGGACCAAAATGAACCCACAGGGCCTTCAGATGAGAAAGGGCAGAGAGTAGTGATGGTCCCTGATCTAGTCCAACACCCTCATTTTAAAGACTTTGGAGCCCAGAAGGGGAAAAAAATCTGTCCAATATAAAAGCACCATTAATATCTATATTTAAACGTGAACTCGGGCCGGCCCGGTGGCACAGCGGTTAAGTGTGCACATTCCGCTTTGGCGGCACGGGGTTCGCCAGTTCGGATCCTGGGTGTGGATATGGCACCGCTTGGCAAGCCATGTGGTGGCAGGCGTCCCACATATAAAGTAGAGGAAGATGGGCATGGATGTTAGCTCAGGGCTAATCTTCCTCAAAAAAATAAAAATTAAAAATAAAAGTGAACTCAGCTTGAAACCATTACACTAAGTGAAAGGACACAGTCACAAAGGACCACAAATTGTATGACTCCATTTATGTAAAATGTCCAAAATAGACAAATCCATATAGATTGGTGGTGGCCTAGGGCTGGGTGAGCGGGGTAGGGAGGTGATGTCTAAGGAGTGTGGAGTCTTTTTGGAATGATGAAAACATTCTAAAATCTTTTGAAGTGATGGTTGCACAGTTAGAATATACTAAAAGCCATTGAATGGTATACTTTAAGTAGGTGAACTGTATGGCATGTAAATTATATTGCAATAAAGCTGTTTTTAAAAAAGTGAACTCAGGGGTTGTAAATGACCACACATCTGAGCTTTAGTCCCCATTCAGAGGGGCAGAGAGAAGCCTTCAGGGTGGAAAAAAATCAGGGAAGGGTCCCTGAATGTGGCATATGGGTAGGACAGGAAAGCATTTGAGAAAGAAGGATTATGTAGTCTTCATCTTAAGGGCAATGAAGCATCATGGATGCTTTTAAGGGTAGAGTGACATGATCAGATCCACACTTTAGAAACATCCCTCCTGAATCACTGAATTGTACATTTAAAACAGTTAAATTTTATGGTGTGTAAATTATACCTCAGTAAAGCCCTCGCCCCACTCCAATCCCTCTAGGGGCTCAAGGAGGATACACTGGAAGACATAAGGTTGGAGGAGGCTGTGGCAGGAGTTTAGGTGAGAAGTGCCAGGGCCCATCTGTTGGCAGATGGGGAAACTGGCTTGGCAGTGGAATGGAGGGGGAGACTCAGGGACAACTTGCCCATGGTTAAGGAGAAGCTGGTAGGACTCAGTTTCCGAACCCAGAGCTCCCTGGCTTCAGCCCTAGTGCTCCCACCAGCACTGCAGCTGCTCCACTGACAGATGATAGAGGCACTGTTCTCCCCCTTCAAAGAGAAATGCACTTGAGAAACATGTTTCCAAAAAATGTTGCTAAGGGTTTTATTTCTAACAAGAGGAAAATAATAAAATAAAATTAAAATAGGCTTCGGTTGGAACCAAGTTTCTTGTTTTGCTTTTTTTTTTCTTTTCAACAAATTAATTACACACCAACAATCTTCTTTTATTACAACATGAACCCAGGAGGAGGAAAGGAGACAGGGCAGGAGAGGGAGGAAAGGTCGAGGTGGGTTGTGAGGACAAGCACCAAAAGCTTTCTTCAGATCACAGGGAGCCCTGTTCAGCTCCCCAACCAAATTCATTTAAAATAAAAAAACTGTGAGCACAGCTATGTGAAGTTTCCTCCTCCTGGGTAGAACAGTCAGGGGAAGGGGGGAGAAGGGAGAGGGAGGCAAAGGAGGGAGAGAGGAAGGAAAAGGGGGGAGGAAAGAGAAAGAGTGAGAGGGTGAGGTGAGGTTAGTGTAGCATGGCCTGGCCAGGGCCAGAACTGGGGCGAGAAGGGAGAGGAGAGTCCCCCAGTTTGCATATGCACTGGCCTTGTCTCTGGAATGGTGCTGGCCCAGCCCCAGCCACCCTCCTGCCCACCTGCCCATCCGTCTGTCTATCTGCCTCAGGTGTCTGGGAATGCTGGTTAGAGGCTACCAGGGAGGGAAACTCCAGGGGCCCGGCCTCCAGGAGCTGAGGTCTGAACAATACCTTGGAGTCAGAATATAAAAGTCAAGGGACTCAGGGGTGGGCTGGAGTTGGGGGGTGGCCATCCCCCCTACTTGCCCACCTCCCAAGAAGCAGGCTTGATGGTCAGAAAGGATCCTTGAGGCCAAGCGGGGTCTCTGTTGGGATCTGTGCTAGGTTCAGCCACTGTCACAACTGTTGCTGAGGCGGCTGCTGTGGGCAGGGCATGTGCAGCCGGGCAGTCAGAGTGGACAAAGGGGCTGAGGGGCCTGAACTGGCCCCTAGCACCGGCTCCAAGCCATTCTGGTTCTCCTGGGTGCTGGGGCTGCCAGTGGTGGGGGGTTGGGGGGGGCCCTCACCCCCAGTCTCCTCCTCCAGCTCCTCCTCCTCCTGGGCCTCCTCAGCCTCTGGCCCTGAGCTCCGTACCCTCTTTGGCTCTAGCTCCTCTCGGGCTGGGTCATCGCCCTCCCCACCCCGATCCACCTTCCGCCGCCGCCGCCTCTCCAGGGCCCGGCCCCGTGCCCGGCTCCCATGGCGCTCTGCCTTCTCCAGCTGTGATCACAGATAGGCATAAAGAGGTGTGGGCCAGTGGTCAGGCCTAGGCTCTCTGCCTGCTTGGGCTGACCTCCTAGCCCTGCCCGTGATCCCTCTCCTCACCTCCAGAAGCGTGCGGATCCGCTCCAGGTCTGGAGGCTGCCCAGCCTGCAGCAGCTGCCAAATGCTGTGGTTCTCATCCAGGGTTACCTCAAGCAGGTCTCCCTCCAACATGAGTTCCTCCAGGGGGGCCCGGGTTGCCTCAGGCAGCTCTAACACAGGGCCAGTCAACTGTGGCAACAGCGAGGACAGCAGCTCCAGGTCTGGGGGGTTGCAGGGACAGGCTTGGTTAGAGGCTGCCCCTGGTTGTATCCCCACCACCACAACAGAGCTGAGGACCACGTGGGTCACTCTGGTGATATTCAATAAACAGCCTACCCACACCTAGACCTACCTCTCTTACCTGAGCCCTCCCCCGGGGCTACCTTCTCAGGGCTGGTCACACTGTCTCCATTTTCCAGCAACCCTTGAACCTGCCAAGGAGAGCAAGAATAGGTAGTGGTAACTGAACTGAAGAACCAGGCCCTATTCTTCCCCTACAACCCCAAACTTGGGACCCTCCAACTCCTAGAGGAGGAAGGTAGACACAGGCTGCCGGCAGGGAGCAGTCTAGGGATCTGGACAGGATGCAGAACAGGGCAGGGAGGTTGGGCCAAAGAAGACCGAAAGTCAGAGAGCAGGGGCAGGGCTGGAGCCTAAATATGGGTGGGGGCTAAGAGACAGGAATTTCAGGACAAGAGCTGTGCTGGTCAGCTCACCTTAGGCATATCCTTGCCACTGCCTTCTCTGAGAGGGTCAGAGGCAGGGGCTGAAGGGTAGGTAGGGGGCTCCTCATGCCTGGGTTCAGCCTGCAGCCTCTGGCGAAGCTTGGCCAGCCGTCCCAACAGAGCAGTCACATCCTCAGAGGCCAGAGCCTGTCTGGCACGGCCTTGCCAGCTGATGGCCCTCTCTGTGAGGCACTGTAAGGCCTCGCCCTCGGGCAGCCGCACAGGCAGTCTCTGCAGGGCTACCAGCAGTGCCAGGATGGTCTCCAGGCGCGGGCGCCGTGAGCGCATGCACAGCGGACACAAGAATTTGGTGTCCCACTCCCACCAGGCCAGCAGTGGGGATGAGGTGGGACTAGGCCTCGGGGAGCTGAGGAGGCGGGGTACCGACACACATCGCCCATGGAACCAGTCCTGACATAGGTCACACTGCAGAGCTCCCACCCCTGCCGGCACCTGCCCACACACACAGATGGAGGTTGCAGAGGAGGCTGTGGTCGATGATGCCAGTGGACTGGGCTTGGCGGAGTTGGTGCGACGCAGCTGCAGGATACCCTCCTTCTCCTTCTGTTCTCCCTCCCTGAAGGCCACGATCTGCCGTGCCCAGGACAGGAGGAGAGAAGGTCAGCAGCCCATCCTCTCCCTTGTGTGGTGCCATTAACACCCCACTCCCAAACCAGAATTGAGGCTCAGGGAGTAAGCGGTCTGCCCATGGTCACCCGACTCAGGCACTCTATCATCACCAGGCTCTTCTCCCATCTGGGCCCAAGCTCCTTACCACAGAGCCTGGGTCCCTGAGGTCCTGTGCAGACAGCCCCAGCAGCTCTGTGTCAGATTTGTACAACCCCAGCTCCTTCTCCATCCACCGGCTGCGCTTGGTGCTGTCTGAGCCAGCATCTGCACACGGGCAGAGCACCTGAGGCAGGCAGATGGGGCAGGGGATGACTGGGCTTCCCCTACCTCCTATCCCCTCTCCTTCCCTCCCAAGAGCCCCCAAAACCCCATGTTCTCATATGAGCCGTCACACAACAGGCAGGCCAAGAGCAAGAGAGGCTGTGGGTCAGGGTCTCAAGCCTCACCTCCAGCAGTGTGTAGCAAGAATTCTTCTTGAGGAAAGTCTTGGATGCCTTCTCCCTCCAGGAGTGTGCAGTCAGTACCTGCAGCTCTAGCTGTCTCAGCTCCTCCAACCCCACAGGTAGGTCCCGGCCCACAGCCACCAGGCCCTCCAAGTCATCCAAGCAAGGGTAGTGGTCACCATTCTGGTACAGGGGCAAGAGAAAGCTCAATTTAACTTGCCACATCTATTGATGTCACCTGTGCTCCCCTGAGCAGGTCAGATGGATTAGACTTCATGCAATCTTGAGGCAGGAAACAACAGAGCTTGTCCTAAGGCAGGCATGCCCACCTGCCTGGCTCTCTCCCATAGCTCCTACAACCATTGGCTCAGCCCCCAGGACACCAGACTGGTTATTTTGTTGTGTTTTGCCTCTTCTATCCTCCTTACCCCCACCATTCTTACCCTAACCAACATCCTCTCTTCCCTCAGGCCAGGCTCGCAACCCCTCCTCACACTGTTCACAAAGCACATTTTGCCTTCTCACAATGTGCTGTGACCCCTTCCTCTCTCTAGGAACCCAACCCAACCCAGCATAACCCAATATATGCCATCTCTCCTGGCTGGACTCAAGGTCTGGAGTAGAGGGTAGGGGGCAACAGGGTCCTCACTTGGATCTCGTCCACATCAGCAATCCAGGCCCGGGCCTTAGCAAGAGCCTCCTTGAGAGCCTGGATGTTGGGCAGGTGAACAGGGATGTTTTCCGCCTCATGGATTATGGCCTCAAGTGTGGCTGGTGGGTGCTTCTGTCTAAAGGTAGGGGAAAAAAAAGAGGCCTCAACCTGGGGTGGTCTGCCTGAGCAAAAGCCCAGTCTGACCACCAAATATATCAACATAGGCCCCTAGGGGCTGCCACTTGGGCCTACTTGCATGTATTCTGCCTGTGGGTGGCTGCCAGTCCCTGGTTGTTCCAGACTGCATGCACCTAACTTCTGCCACAACCCTTGTGCCTCTGCTTGTCTGCCAGTCTGTCAGACTGCTGGCAGTGCCTACACAGACAACCTGTGGTATTAATCTTATACTGTAGTTTGTCATATTGTCCTGTGCATGGTGTCTTTCTACTGACATCTGTTCATCTGCTTATTGGTACTTGTGCTCCTGTACATATGCACACATCAGCCTGTGGAGCCAGTCCTCTCTACATCTCTATCTGTCCATCTCTGCTTCCCCATGAGCCTATCTCTGTCTTTATATGTATACGGAGTTAAAAAAAAAAAAAAAAAAAAAGTCCAGATAGGGAATAAAAAAGGGGAGGAGGGGAGGAAAGTCAATATACCAACACAGGAGTCTGGTGCCCAAGGCCACCCACTGGAATCATCTTCAGCTTCTTCACTAAACTTTGAAGATTGGGGCAGAGCAGGGAAGGGAAGAGGTTGGACCTACCTGGCCTCCAGGCAGAGGTGGGCCTTCTCCTCCCAGCGTTCAGCAATGGTCAGCAGCTCCTGCAGCTCAGCCCGGGCCTTATCCACAGCAGGGCTAGGGGCTACACTGGCACCCGCAACCAACAGTCCCCGCATGACAGCCAGGGTGCCCCTTCGGGCTGAGGGAGCCAGCGTGCGTTTCACCTCATCCAGCCATCGCGCCTGTTCCACCTGCCGCTGGAGCTGCTGGGCCTCAGGAACCTCCACCCCCAGCTGCCGCCCCCTCTCCAACAGGGACTGCAGTAGCCCTGGACTGGAGGGTAGTGAGGCCAGGGCCTCACAGGCCTCAGCCTGGTAGGCCTCCACCTGTTCCAGAACACCCTACCAGGATATAGATGAAGAACACACTCCTCAGCTGGGCCCACTCAGAGGTCCCACCACCAGATACCCTTGCCCCACCTACCTTCTTACCCTCCAGTATTTGTGAAGAGAGCCTAACATGGGCTGGGCTCTCCTCCTTCACTATGCTATAAGACAGTGGTTCCTAACAGCTCACTGCCTGTTAGAATACCCTAAGGAATGTGTTAAAATGCAGATTCCTGGGCCCCACCCCTAGAGATTCTTTACAGGGGTTGGTCAGAAGTCTGTGCTTTATTTAAGTCCCCAGAGGATTCTGATGTATAGCACCAGGAGACCCTCTGCACTAAAATGCTCTGCTATGCTTGGCATTCTCACAAACCCCTATGGCTCACGCTGGTAACCACTACCCTCTCCATCCCACTTCTCTTCTACCTTCCTGCACTTGACTCAGCCTTCCAGGCCCACAAACACCCTTGTTACTTCCTTTCTCCTCTTCCACCTCTGCCAGGAAACCCTCCCTTGACTTTGCATCCTGTACTCGTACCCTTGCCACCTGCCCCTCAAATCCCATTTTTAAGGGGCAATTGCTAGACCCTTTGTCTCCTACCTCCCGTTATTCTCACATGTGTATCCTGTCTGGCCCAAATACTTGACACTTTTTAAGAGAGCCAAGAGTGGCCTGCTGCTCAGGTCCCCCAATCCCCATGATCCCTCAGCAGCACTCCAAGTCCACCCCTCCTCACCTTGACATCCCCAATCTGGTGCATGGCACAAGGCAGGTTGTTCATCTGGTCCAGAAAGGCCCGGAGCTCAGCCAGGGTCATTTGTAGACCAGCCACCCTGTGGGGGCTATGGAGTTTCACATGTGGGGTTTCAGGTCCAAACCCAGTCCCCTCCCTCCATCTCTGTGCTGAGACCCAACACCTTTCCTCACACCTGCCCACTTTGATCTCTCATACTTCACCGTTTCCCCCAACTGCCCAGGTTAGAGGGAGGGTTTTAAGATACAAGCGCATTCATATGATGAGAAGAAAGAATTAGAAGAGAGGAATAGAGGATATATTTGAGGGGGAGCTTAGAAATTAGTTGACGGTAACAGAAGTTGGACGTCCTTTTCAATCCATCCTCTACTGTGAACTCTATGATCAAATTTATGCTCCTGTGTCCTTTTCTTGCCCCTAAACCTTCCACAACTCCTCCCTGCCCACAAAATCCACCATCCTGTCTGAAATCTCCTCTAGGTACTGATAAAAAGAAACATTTCTAGCTTTCTTAGCACTGAGGTGCTCTTCTCCATTCTAGGTGCCTGGTCTCCTTGCCTTCCCCAACACCTCCCAGGCCACTTCACAGTGCAGTGCTTGTCAGCTTCCTGCTGATGTCGTCTGCCCAATGGTACTCAGAGTCCACCCCTTGTAGTACTTTTCCTAGGTGCTGGCTCCTCAGCAGACTATCTGTGCCCAACGCCTCCTGCTACCATACCCAGCTTCCTGGCCGCTGACCAGACCCAGTGCCCGGGACACGCAAGCCTCCGCCTCACTCAGGCAGTTCTTCAGTCGCTGCAGCAGCTCACTGTTAGGAAACCTCCGCTCACGGGCCTCAGACTCTAGAGCCCTCAGCTCTTCAAGGCCTGGAGAGAGAATGAGAGCAGCAAGGAGTAGGCAGTATTGAGGAAAGGGGTTGGAGGTACAGAAGAAAAGGGAATAGAACTTGCCTGTAGAGTCCCTCCGTCCCCCCATCACTCACTGCGCTTCCGCCCATCCTCCACCTCCAGGGCCACTCGCACTTTGTTGGCCCAGGTGTCAAAGGACTCGGCCCGAACCTTCAGCTTATGTAGCATGGCAGGGAGCTCATCCAAGGTGTACCGATACCTGAAGGAAGAGGACAGGGAAGAGCACATCTGGTCCAGCTCTGCATTCCCCCCCTTAGCCCACTTCCTCCAGGTAGGCCCCTGGGCTCACCGCAGGTACTGCCGGCTACTGGAACATTTGCAGAGGTCATTGATGTGGGAAAGGCAGACAAGGCCGTCAGGGCAGTCGTAGCAGGCCAGGGCGGACAGGAAGCACGTGGTCTTGCACTTGATGCACTGGCGCTCATCATCTGGGAGCAGCTCAAAAGCCTCTCGTTCAGCTTCCGTGATGCCCTGGGAGTGGTTCAACCCACACACATTAATAGAACCAGAACAGGGCCACAGAAACCCCCATCTCAGCCACCACTGAGCCTCACATTAGACTCAAATCTATGCTGAGAACTGTGGGGAAGACCAAACTCCAAGGAGTACACTGTCTCTATGAAGTCCAGACTTTCAAAGCTGGGCAATTAGATGAACCAGGGCAAGATAAGTGTGGGTGAGATGAAGAAAAATCAGGTAAGACTCAGATCAGCAGAAAGGGCCTTTAGGATGAGAGAAGGTGAGCAAAGTGGTGGACCAAGGCACCAGAGAGGTAGCAATGTGTGAGAGTAGGCTGTGTACTAGGGAGCAACGCTGGCTTCCAAGTCACTGAGGGCCCACTGTGTTCCAGGTACCATGCTGGCTGCTTAGCAGGCAGGACACACTGTGTGTACATATATAACTTACAGAAATGAAACTCTATGTGCTTGTGTCCCGTGTTTAAAGACACAATTTTCTTTTCAACAACATGGGCTTCCAAACCTATAATAAGCCAATGATGTCATCTGTTGCTCAGATTAAGAAACAGCAATCCATTCCAAAAACAGAGAAAAAGCAGCAATGTTGGAGTAATTGAAAGACGACAAAATGCCATACATTATGGGCAATTTTAGAGATTTTAAACGGAAATCTGACTAAGAGTTTTTGTCTTCTATACTGACTTTAACACCTAACCTCTGCCTAACATCTGAGTCCATTACATATTAGAAATCACACTCTGTCACTTATTAGCTGTGTGATATTGAGTAAATTAAATTTCTCTCGGTTTCAGTTTCTCTATGTTGTAAAAGGGAGATAATGGTACCATGCTCATTAGGTTGTTATGAGGATTAACAAAGGTAAAGCAACTAACGACCTAGAAAAGTATCCTAGCACTTAGAATAAGTAGAACCACAAAAGATCCTGACTGAATAGCCGAAGCAATCTTGAGAAAGAACAAAGCTGAAGGCATCATACTTCCTGATTTCAAATTATATTACAAAACTATAATAATCAAGACAGTATAGTACTGGCATAAAAACAGACACACAGACCAATAGAACTGAATAAAGCCCAGAAATAAACCCTCATATATACAGTCAATTAATATTTAACAAGGGAGCCAAGAATACTCAATGGGAAAAGGATATTCTCTTAAGAAATGGTGCTGGTAAAACTGGATAATCACATGCAGAAAAATCAAACAGGACCTTTATCTTATACCACTCATCAAATTAACTTGAAATGGATTAAAGACTTAAACATAAGACCTCAAACCATAAAACTTCTAGAAGAAAATACAGGGAAAAAGTGGCTTGACACTGATCTTAGCAACGATTTCTTGGATATGACACCTAAGCACAAGCAACAAAAGCAAAAATAAACAAGTGGGACTACATCAAACTAAAAAACATCTGCAAAGCAAAAGAAACCATCAACAAAATGAAAAGGCAACCTACGGAATGGGAGAAAATATTTGCAAACCATCTATCTGATAAAGGGTTAATATCCAAAATACATACGGAACTCATACAACTCAACACCAAAAAAACAAACAATCCAATTAAAAAATGGGCAGAAAATTTGAATAGACATTTTTCCAAAGAAGACACACAAATGGCCAAAAGGTACATGAAAAGATGCTCAACATGACTAATCATCAGGGAAATGCAAATCAAAACCACAATGAGATATCACCTCACGCCTATTAGAAGGCTATTATCAAAAAGACAAGAGATAAGAAGTATTTGGGAGGATGTGGAGAAAAGGGAACTCTTGTACACTATTGGTGGGAATGTAAAAGTGGTACAGCCACTTTGGAAAACAGTATGGAGGTTCCTCAAAAAATTTAAAAAACAGAACTACCATATGATCCAGCAATCTACTTCTGGGTATATATCCAAAGAAAATGAAATCAGGATCTCAAAGAGATACCTGCACTCCCATGTTCACTGCAGCATTATTCACAATAGCCAAGATATGGAAACAACCTGAGTCCATCAACAGATGAATGGATAAAGATGTGGTATACATACACAATGGAATATTATTCAGCCATGAGAAAGAAGGAAATCCTGCCATTTGTGACAAGATGGATGACCTGAAGGGCATTATACTAAGTCAAATAAGACAGAGAAAGACAAACACTATATCACTTATATGTGAAATCTAAAAAAGCCAAATTCATAGAAACAGAACAGAATAGTGGTTGCCAAGGGCTGAGGGGCAGGGAAAATGGGGAGATGTTGGTTGAAATGGAACAAACTTTCAGTTAGAAGATGAGTAAGTTTAGGGGATCTAATGCACAGCATGGTGACTATGCGGGATGGGGGGAGAATAAGCACTCAACAAATATTTACTGTTATTCCCTCTAATTTTCAGATAAGGATACCTGCTTCACAGGCCTATCTCATTTTACTAAACTAAGGAGGAAACTAAGTCTCAGAGAGAGTCAGTAACTTGCCAAAAGTGAGAATCTGACTTCAGTCTATTTTGACCCTGGAGCCAGAGAATGTTCTAAGCATAAAGCCCCTAGGTATTTTTGGATCATGGACTCCTCTGAGAATTGGATGCAAGCTATGAGCCCTCTCTCTCCCCAGAAAAGTATTCACACTCTCTCACACACACACAGATCCCCCCCACAATCTTTTACAGAATTCCAAGACTGGGGGTCCAGAACCTTTCTCTAAGGTAAGGGCCAAGTATAAAGAATTCTGAATGTCAGGATGAGAATTTCTAGTCTTCCCATCTTGCTTTGGCTCCTTCCTGTAGTCTGGCACAGCCCCAGAGTTATCATTTAATAACAGCGGAGAGAGAAAATGATGCCTGGAAAAGCCCAGGGGCTTACTAACTAATGTTACAGACTGACATGCCCAAGACTTCCAACACTTACCGTAGCTACAACTCTCCTTACAGCCCATGCTCATAGGAAAGTTATAAATGAGCTTTAAAACAACAAAGTATTACCCTAAATGGGCAGCAAGGGATCCCTCAGGACCAGCACTCCTTTGGAATCCTATGGAGGACTCTCACTAAGTCAATTCCCTAACTGGGTAAGTCAACTGGAAGCTTTAAGAAGGCAGCTGAACCACAGGAGTAGTGGTCCCACTCATCTACAACACAACTGATACATGCTCATGAGAAATCAATTAAAGGAAGACTGCCTTCTACTTGGTGATATTACCCTAATCTGAGCTACTGAACCATCTGAAGGTAATAAAATGGCATTTCCTAAGAAATGTCCCATATTTCAATCATTTTCTTCATGTGTTATAATAGCAGCTGCTACACTGTTGCTATATTGTATATATATGTATATGTATGTGTGTGTATATATATATATACACATTGTATAATGCTACATACATTACAAATAAATGCTTTGACATAAAGCAGCTTGCTCAAGCTTTACAATCACCTTGCAAGTTAGGTATTTATTCTCATTTTACAGAGTGGGGAAATGAGACTATAAGAGGTTAAATAACTTGAAAAGGTCACCCAGCTAATCAACAGTGGGGGTTTTACATGCCAATCTGTCTTGTTAGGTTATTTAAATAATGATGAATAGCAGCTATACCAGCACCTGCTATGGGTCAGTTACTTAACAAACATTATTTTTAATCCACTGACTATCCAAAAAGATAAGTACTATTATAATCCCCATTTTTCAGATATGGATACTCACGTCAGTGAAGTAAATTAACTTGCTCATGGTTGTTGGTAAATGGTAGTGCAGAGAATGGAATGTGGTTTCCAATGCAGATGCATCTAGTTCTGTTGACCACACCCCAAAAATAGAAGCTACATCTTCTACTAAGAGGTCCTTCCCCTTACCTCTGCCAGGCTAGGGTGCCTGATTCAGGGCACTCTCCCTACCACCCACCTTCTCCAGCAGGGCCTTTCGCAGACGCCGCTCCTCTTGCACCATAATGAACATCTCCTTATGCACAGCTGCTGCCAGATTCAGGTCCAGCTTTTCTGGGCAGGCAGCCATCTTGCAGATGAGCTCCTCATGGGAGAAGACACAGTATCTTCGCAGCCGGCGATAGTGCTCAATGCACTGGCGCCCAGCTGGCAACTGTGGAGAGGTTCAAGGTTGAGCGTGGCCAAGTCTGGAGGCTCTAGTGCCTGAGCTTCCCCAAAACCCTCCTGCTTCTCTCTGCCAGCCCACCACACTACAGACTCACCCAGTCAGCAGTGCAAAAGTTGACGGCCTCTGCAAAGTTGTAGCCTTGGTTAAAGCCACTGTGGTAAGCACGAGGGAAGGTAATGACGAACTCTCCTGCACACTGGTTTGTGCGGACAACCTGAGGAAGAAAGGCCAAGGTCATTCAGATAGAGGTTTTCCACAGTCTGCAGAAATCTGATCTAAGTGCAGGGTCTTTAAGGAACAAAGGAAAGCCTGAGGGAACACAGTCTGAAGGATTCCCAGACCTTCCAACTTCAACTGGAAGGACCACTGGTCTCTGCTCTCAAGGTTTTGATTTGTGTTGACAGATGACAGGAAGATCTGAGTCAAAAGTAGTAAGGAAATGTACATACCAAAATATTTCAACTTCTCTAGTAATTTTTACAAAGATTTAAAATATCACTTTTCATTAAACTGGCCAAGTCTTTTTCATCAATAATTATTTTTATCAGTCATATATGCAGTTTCAAGAGCCAAATGGTTCTACAAAATTTGTTATAAAATCAGCAGGCCCTGCCATTCTGCACTCACCACAGCCAATCACTTTCACCTCTTCTGATTATTTTGGCATTTACCTTAATGACCCTAAATAACATGCCTCTAGACTATATTAGAAATAGCCTCCTATTTCTCAATTTGCTTAGTTTTCTATGCATGTATTAGTAATTTAATCCCAACCTTTTGGACAAATGTCCAAGTTTCCTCTCTCCTATCAGTTTTCACCTTTCTGTAGCAGTCTCTCATGGAGCCTTATGATTTGTTCCAATTTGGACCAGCTATCCTCCCTGGACCATCACTCTACCGTGGTGGATCTCCTGTTTCCTAGATCTTATGTCTTCCTCTTTCTTGGTTTACTCCTTTGCTGTGCTTGAGTACGTCCTCCAACAGCTTCCTGAGAAACAGTGGGAAAAACTTTTTTTTTTTGGTAAACGTCTCTATTCTACTCTTACACTTGATAATTTGACTGCATATAGAATTCTAAGTTGAAAATCATTCTGAAGGCATGGCTCCAGTCTTCTAGATTCCACCGTTGCTTGTGAAAAGTCTGAAACCATTCTGACTTCTAATCTTTGAATTAAACCTGTTTTCTCCCTCATGAAGCTTGTAGGATTTTTCTGGTCCCAGTGTTTGATATGAAAAATCACCACATATACCTTGGTGTGGATCTATTTTCATTCATGTACTGGGGTAGGCCCTTTGATTCTGGAAACTCAGTCTTTTGGTTCCGGGAAATTTTCTTGAACAACTTCATTAATGATTTGATCCTTTCAAGTTTCATCTATTCTCTCTTTACAGAACTTCTATTATTTGAATATTGAACCTCCTGAACAAATTCTCTAATTTTCTCTACCTTTTTCCACCTTTATCTTTTTATTCTATTTTCTGGGAGATTTCCTTAACCATCTTCTAAACTTTGTTTTTGAGTTTTTCACTTTTGCTATCATAATTTTAATTTCCAAGAGCCCTTTTTTGTTCTCAGTATGTTCTTTTTAAATAGTATCCTAAATATTTCATGTTTCCAATATATGCTCATCCCTGAAGATATTAATGAGGTTTCTTTTCCTTTTCTTTTTGAAGCTTACTTCTCCCTGCCTAATCTGTTTCTCCAAGTTGTTTTTTTTCTGTTTGATTGTATTTTGTTTTCTAGAGTTTCCTCGGTTAATCTGCAGCTGTCTACTTACAGCTAAGAAATGAAAAAGCTGAATAGAAGTTCTGAATACACAGGTGAAGTTTGTCAACTGTGAGCTGCACTACAGGGTGATCAGGCTGAGCCATTTAGTTTGGGAAACTCCAGGTCTTTCCTTTTGGGCCAGATTTCCCAGAGAAAACTCTATTTTTTGCCTGAAGTAAAAAAGTCTGGCTGTCAGTATTCTAACAGCCAAGTGAAGGAAGACGGCTGAGAATCTCAGCATCGAGTATGTCAACAACGATGAATCTTAGTATTTCACTATACTTGCACCCTCAACTATACCTAGAAGCCCTCAAACCAGAGATTTTCTATTTCAACGTCTTCAAATCTCTAGTCTTTTGCTAGAGTGAGGGAGGGTCATATTTCCAGCTGCCCAGAAAAGGAGGGGATCTCACATCATCTTATACAGACATGAACCAATCTTTATTTTCACCCCATTCATCTTTACTCCCAGAATGCCTGGTGCCACTGACTACTGAACCTCTGGGAGATTCTGAGGTATAAATCAGGTTGGTTCTCAGATGTTCCAGTACTAGCTTAAGATTCAGTTTTCTTATCTGTTTTCCAGTTTCAAGAATTTTATCACTGTCTTCTCTCTTGTTTTCTCCATCTCCATAATTTTTTACCTTAAGAAAAATCTTTGTGCCATTTTAGTGGAGTTTCTGTAAGGAACGGAAGTAGCCATGTGTATGTTTAGTTCACTATCTTTACTGAGAAGTCTCACAAAGTTTCTTAAGATGAACATTCAATGCTGATGAAACAGAGGGTTGGTAAGAGGACCAATAACTTCTACTCTCTGGAAAGCAAAATTGCTAATACATATCAAGAACTTAAAATGTTTATACCTTTCAACCCAATGATTCGTCTGCTAGGATTCTAGATTAATGTGGAGAGAATTAACATCCCAACAATATTGAATCTTCCCATTCATGAATACATCTCCGCATTTACTCGGGTCATGCGTCAGCGCCCAACTCCAATACATTTTCTTCTTCTCAAATCTATCCCTACTTAGAGGCAACATGAGCATTTCTTGCCTACGTTACTGCACTGGCCCCCACAACCAACCACTAAAATTGTCTTCTAAAACATGCAAATCTGACCAGGTAATGCCCCTGCTGAGAACCCCTCACTTGAATCCTCATGTCCATATGATAAAGCCACAGCCCTGACAGGCAAACTTTTACTCTTCCTTCCAGGGTCATCACTTCTACAAATGCCGTCCCGACTCCCCCATCCTAATGACCCAGTCTGCTGTTCTTCTGTAGTACCTCTAACATTTTATTCCACTTGTTTACTCACCTGTCCTCCACTCAACTGCACATACCTGAAGTCAGGGACTTGTTTATGTACCTTCAGGATGTTGGCCAGAGGCCTTGTACACAGAGGGAGCTCTAGTAATATTTGCTGAATGATCTAGTCCTAGCCTTAATTTTATAGATGTGAAAACTGAGTCCCAGAGAAGCCTCATGTAGCAGAGCCAGAAATAGAACCTAATGGTTCTGACTCTTCATCTCAACCTGCAGCTTCATTTTGGCAATGCCACTTTACTGCTGCCTATGTAGTTATTTAAAAAAGCACCCCTCACATTCTACAGCTGTTAAAAAATGACCCAAATGTCCATCAACTGGTCAAGGGATAAACAAAATGTGGTATATCCATGCATGGCATATTATCCCACCATAAAAAGGAATCAAATTCTGACACATGCTACAACATGGATGAAGCTCGAAAACACTATGCTAAGTGAAAAGAAGCCAGACACAAAAGACCACAAATTATTCCACTTATATGAACTGTCTTGAAAAGGCAAATCTCTAGAAGCAGAAAACAGATTAGTGGTTGCCTGGGTCTAGGGGTTCAAATGGAGAGTGACTGCAGAAGTACATGAGGGATCTTTTTGGGGTGATAGAGATGGTTCTAAAACTGGACTGTGGTGATGGTAGCACAATTCTGTAACTTCACTGAACTATGCACTTAAAATAGGTGAATTTTATGTTAAGTAAATTATACTGCAGTGAATCTGGTTTTTTTTTTAAAGATGGTTATAAATGGTTCATAGTAAGGAAGTAAAAATCATTCTAGACCAGCACTGTCCAATAGAAATATGCCAGCAGCATATGTACTTTTAAATTCTCTAGCAGCCACATTAAAAAAGTAAAAAGAAACAGGTGAAATTAATTCCAATATATTTTATTTAACTTAATATGGCCACAATACTATCATTTCAATGTGTAATTGCTATACAAAAGTATTAGTGAGATGTTTTATATTCCTAGTTTCATACTAAGTCTTGAAATCCAACATATCCAGCACATTTTAGTTGGGACTAGCCACGCTTCAAGTGCTCCATAGCCACATGTGGCTAGTGGCTACCAAACTGGACAGTGTTGTTCTGGATCATTAAACTTACAAAAGAGATTATAAAATCCATATACTGATTATTGCCATGTTAAAATTTACATAGAAAAACAACAGATGGAAACATAACAAAATGTGGAGGAAATAAGGATGACCTATTTCTATTTTTGGAAAGGGGGCATGTTTCTTTTATAATGAAAATAATACACTATATATCTATAAAAAGAAATGGCCTTCTCCCACCAAAGGGGAAGGAGTGGAGTAGGCTAAAGATAGCTCTGGGGGAGCTACAGCTGGCTAACCTGCAGTCTGCCAGCATGAGAATATGAAAATCACAGATGCCTTGGATTGAGAGGATACTGCCAAGTCCAAAAAGCCTGGAGCTGCTGGGAACTACCTATAGGAGGGGCAGGGCAGACAGAGGGCACGGTGGTAAAGCAGCAGCTGGCCAGAGAAGTTGCTAAGCCATAAGTGGGAGAAATGCTGTGGAGGTGGAAGCAAAGAGCACATGTTTAAAAGTCTGTGATAAAAGTTTTTTAAAGAGAGGTAAGGATTGAAGAGCTATACATATGCATCTTAGGTGTCTGAATCCTTAAGGAGAATCCTCTTCTACTCTTAGAATTTTCCTTGACACTGTAGTCCAGTCTGATACTGTGTCAGGAAGAAAGGAGTCTGAGGAAAGATCAGACCCAATGTCTACTTGTGAAGAGCAGAAGTGGAAGGGACCTTGATCATCTTGATATCTGGAGTTCAGTAATTCTTAAATGGAGTGAGGTGAAGAGGGAAAAGGATACTGTCCTCTGAGAGAAGGTAGGATGCTTCCTTTAATTCCCTAGATACCTCAATCCTTGGTTAAATATCACTAAAATGTATATTTTAAAATATTATAAAAAATATTATCAATATACAGTAGAAAAGCAAAACAAGGTGAAGGCAAGAAGCAATTCGGGTGAGAACCACTGACCTAGTCCACAGCCCAACTGTACAGATATCCAGGGATCTCAAGGAGAAATTAATTCAGTATGTACTGATTGCCTACCATATCCCATGCATTAGACTAAGTGGAAGGACAGGCAAAGCTGTGGGTGGGATGGGGGGCGTGGAAGGGAGCGGGGAGGAGAAGTAGTACAGAGTAAGACTCACAGCAAAGGTGGAGGATATACTAACTCCTGTTCCTACAGGACTGCTGATCAGGCTATTTTAAGATCCACACTAGAAAACTGGCTGATGCTAATCAATGCTAGAAATTCCCAGGAATATATAATCCCTTACAGGTAAGCCAGGTTGTACACCCAGCAAAACATTTTATAGGGTGGGACAGAAGTCCTCAGAGAAGGAGAATAGGATAAGCCATGACTCTGGGTTCAACTTTAAAAAAAAAAAATTGAAAGATACTGGCACATTTTTTCAGGTTATTTGCCAGCCACCCCCCCAGCTTTATTGAGATATAATAGATATATAACATTATGTAAGTTTAAGGTATATATTGACTTGATACACTTATATACTGCAAAATAATTACCACCATAGAAGTTTTGACCTGTTAAATAAGTAAAAAACCTAAACCCACTGCCCCGAGAAGGGTTATAGTATGGAAAGTATGGCAGAGACTGCTAGTTATCCCCCGATATTCATTCTCACCTTCTTTCATAATAATATGATCTCCAATTTGTAGCTGGTACATGAACATCCAGAATAGGAATCATATTTCTCAGTTTTCCTTGTAGCTAAATGTGGCCATGTGACTAAGCTATGACTAACAGGAGACAAATGGAAATGATGTGTGCCCTTATAAGTAAGGAGACTTGTCTTGCCCTGTTCTTCCCCTATTTCCCTCTTCCACTGGCTGGAATGTAGATGTGATAAGAAGCCATACCTAAGGTGTTGTCCTCAAACATGTGGCCCAGAGGGCTCACCATCGCATTGTTTATCTAACCACTATCATTTTGGGTCTCTGTTAGAGGCGTCAAACATATAGCCCAATTAAGATAGAACAGGAATGAGAAAGGGGCATGGGTAGATTCCAGATGATGACGATCACCACCACCACCACCACCACCACCGATATCACTAAATCATTTCTACCCTTGTCCCTGTTTCCTGGGCACTCACCGGCACGCCATGGGACATGAGGGTGTTGGGATTCATGAGGGTGACAAGTTGGTGCAGGAGGTCAGGCTGGCTATCAAAGAGCTCGGGTGTCAGCTTCTTCATCACCTCCTCCAAATGTTCTGCTGCAAGCGAGGGTACCCCATACCAGGTCTTCGGCTCGCCCCTGTCCAAGTGGAAAGAGGACACACAGAGTGGTCACACCTGTGGTCCTGAGGGAGTCCACCCCTGACTGCCTCCCTGGCTCCCCAGGGCCCCACTCACCAGTGGAGGTAGTTAATGGAGTAACTCCAGTGATCCTCAATATGCCAGCAAAAGGCTGAGAAGACCATGCCCACGTAGAGCCAGGGTACCTTCATGCCGGAGATATCTGCATTGATGTGGCACAGTACGGACTGCTCCAACACCGGCATCACATTCAGGTTCCAACCACTGGTAGCATACTCCTGTCAGGTCAGGTGTTTGTGGAAAGGGGATGAGGGTTATGCTAAAGAGCTGAGATCTTTAGCCCAGGGAACCTTAATTTTGAGCTTAGACCTTTTTGAAACATCTAAGAAACATTATAAAGGTGTTCTACCCCCAGAATGCACACACACAAAATTTCAATTCAATATGAGGGAGGTTTACAGACACACCCACCCACCAAAACACCTGCAAGTTAAAAGCCCCTGCTCTGAACCAAAATGCACCCTTCCCTTAAGGCAGGCCTGGGCTCTCATTTTTCCCTGCATATACAATCCCAGTCCCTCAACACTTCTTATGAGCCAGGCACCCTGCCAGGTATTTCATACACCTTCTCATTTAACTTTCATAACAAATTTGTAAGGTAGATACTATCCCCAATCTACAGACAAGGAAATAGCCAATCTGACGGCTAGAGATGCCATGCCAGACACGAGGCTGTGTTCTTTACACACGCATTGTCTCATCTGAATCTCACAGCAACCACGTAAGGCAAGCCTAATTATCTCCATCCTACAGAACTACTGAGTCTTTCAGATACTTAATGACTTGCTTAAGCTCACACAGCTGACATATAACCACGAATCATCCACTCACCTCCTCCTCAGGGGTTAGGTGTCGCTTACTGTCGCTGATGGGGAAACCGCTGCCAAATTCTTTGGAATGGATATCAGCGCCATACTCAACAGTCACATCCTCCTCAATGCTATTCACTAGCCGCCAGAACTCCTTCTCCACAAGTTCTGTGGGTACCATCTGGGGAACAGGAATGGCGGATGATTGTGGCCCATCATATCCTGGCCTCACTGACCCAGGAGAGCTAAGACCATCAGGCACCAACACCTACGACCCTAGCCCTGACACTACCCCAGCCCTCCATCACCTACGTGCACAGGCATGTTGAAGTAATCGGCTTTAAAGGAGTCAGCCATCTCGCCAAAGCTCTGCAGAGTGTATTCCCGGGTAGCCTGCTCAAAGCCAAAGGCTTCAGGGGGGCGCTTACACTCCTGAAACCCAAAGGAGAATATGTCACCAAGGCAGAGGCAAAGAGGTGGAGCATCCTCAGAAGTGGAGCTGGAATATGGGGTAGGAGTAGGGAGAACAGCCCTGAGTCTGCACTCAAGGCCCTGTGTGGCAGGCCTCACTTTACAGCTCTACCTCTTTTTTTCTCCTGGCACTTCAACTTAATTAGTATTTTCATTCCGCACGTGCACTTCTACCATGCTTTCAGCCTTCTCTTCCTTTACGACTTTACTATCTAAACCATGGGCTCTGACTTAAATATGCTATCCTAAGCTCTTCTGCCACCATTTGTTCTCTCAAGCTAAAGCGTGAGTCTATTCAGGGTACTTAGAGAAGCTTTTTTATGCCCAGATTGGAACTACAGGCCTGGGAAAATGGCACTGAATATTCTAGTAGCTTGGAGGATGGGAAATGAAGGCACCAGCTTCTACAGTGTCAAACCCTACGCTATTCCTGTTCTTTAGACTATCTCAGAAGACAGGACGTGGGTCTACCTCCCTTTGTACCTATATTCATGGTTTTAGATGAGTGCCATATGTACCCCAGAGTCAGACATACACTCTGCTCATGTCTGAAAAATAAATGTCAATCTGGTTCACTGGCCCACAACCACTTTGAGAGCCAAGTAGAGCTGACAGTCTGTTGTTATCCAAACTCCTCCCCAAAGGAACCTCCACCACTACCAAGGCCATAATGTACTGCCCTGGTCTCTTTCCTCACCTGTGTTTGTCTATGTGTGTGTGCATTGTTCACACCTGGTCTCTAAGACCACAGTTGAGTCCCTAAGATAAGGCAAGAGACTATCAATGTCTGCTCTCCAGAAACCCAGAGAGAAATGTAGATAAGCACTCAGAATTTGGATGATGGTAGGAAGCTCATGAAACGGACCTGGCAGACTTCCCAGGCCTCTGAGCCCTCACTGCTGCTTCAGCTGCTATCCTTACTGCCCTTCTTGCACTAGGTACATTCTCCCCATATCCCCTTGCTTCTGCATTCCCTCCACTCCCCAGTCTAGAATGCCTGCCCACCTCTTCTAGTTAAAGTCTACCTCATTGCAAACCAATCTAATTACCACAACAGAAGGAAAACAACTAAATAAATATTATACCCCTATGATGAACCCCCTACAAGAAAATCATACCTATGAATAATTTAACAATATAGAAAAATGATTATAAAGTAACAAATGAAGACATACAATTGAGATCCCAAACTTTTAAAGTTTTATTTTTATACATATATATGCACATATATACATATGCAATAACAAAAAAATGAGAAGAAAATATACCAGACTATTAACAATGGTTGTCTCTAGGTGTTGAGATGATAGGTAATTTGTCTATTTTCCAAGCTTTCTAAAAAAAACAAAGAATAAAAAACTTGGAAATCAAAAGAACAATTTTTTTTCATATTCCTAGCCTCTAAATCTCATTCCTGACACTTTCCTTGATTACTACCCTTAGTCATTTTCCTCTCCTCCGAACTTCTATACCTCAGAGTTTCTAACAGACAATTTAGCATTTGATTATACGTCACCACATACAGTCTGTCTAATCATGACTCTTACCTCCCCTGGTGGTCTGGAAGCTCCCAGAGGATGCAAGCAAAGGCTGAGTCTCCACCTCCTCTTTCTTCCAAAGCTCTGCCCAGCCTAGCCCAACCCCAGAAACCCAAAGCATAAGACTGTGGCTGAGCTAGGAGGCTGCTCTCAATAAAGCTAGATGAAGGAAGGCAAGGATACACTATGAGGCAGACATGGACTGGGGCTGGGAAGGCCTTACCGCCATGACACACTTTGGGCACCGCCAGACACCCTTGGGAATTTCAGGCAGAGGAGGCAGCAGGCAGAAGATGTGGTAGTTGTCATCACAGCCATCACACAGCAGGAGCTTGTCATCCTCATCCCCTCGGGAACACATCCGGCATATATATGACTCGATCTGCCAGGGGAGGGAGGCAATTATCAACCTAAGCCCTGTCCAGCCTTAAAACATCAGATTCCTCCAGACAGCACCCTAGTCCACAGAGCTTTCATTAGAAACCTGCTGGGCTTGCTGGCTGGGTCATTCATGGCCCTCTACAGGCTAGTCATGCTAGGTCTGGAGTTTAACTGCACGCATGTACTACTGCCCCAAATAAACTGATAGAGTTGTGAGAACAGAGTTTATCACTCAATCTTGAATCTCCCATTTTTATTCACTCAATAAACACTTACTGAACACTTGTGTGTTCAACACTATGCTGGACTCTGCAGTATAGTGATGAATAAGACAAGACATACAGTACTCCAGACATGTGTTCATAAAAATTAAAGCACAGTATGGAAACTGCCAAAAGCAGCCCATAAGTGTACTGTGGGAGCCTAGAAAAGGAGCACTCAAATCAACTGGAGAAAAGGAGAGACAGCCTTGAGGAAGGACTTCAGTAAAAAGGTGACACTTGAAACTAACTGAAATCTGAAAGCAAACTGAAGTTCGGCAATGAGGCAGAGCACAGGAAGAAATTCTAACAGGCAGAAGAAATAGCATGTGCAAAGGATGGGGAAAGAAAGAGCATGGCTTGTCTCAGGGAAAAAAACCGAACATACCTACAAGTAGTTCAGTGTGGCTATAGCAGAGGAGTAAGGTGGGCAGTGCTGGGGAATGAGGCTAGAGGTCAGCAGGGACTGGATCATGCATGGTAATGAGGAGCTTAGCCTTTATCCTGAAGCAATGGAGAGGAAGTCTCCTTCTCTGCACCATTCCAGCACTTCATGTTGACAGCACTTGATCACCCTTTCTTGTTGTTCTCTGTTCCATGTGAGTTGGCCTGCTTTCCCCAATTAAGTGAGCTACCTGATGGCAGGGCCCACCAGGCCCACTTTTCTGCTTAATGCAACCTGGTCCAGTGCCATGCTGGGGAAATGCTCGTTGAAGGGACGAGAAGCAGAGCATTAGGAAGGCAGGGTTGGGTCCTTACAAACTGGGCATTGCTGTGGTTCCTCCGCAGCCTCATGGTCATCTTGGTACAGGGCTCTGGGCTGTGACTCAGTTCCTCCTTGCTTTCCAGGAAGGTCTTAGGTGAGGTTGACTCCACCTTCACGTCGCTGCCTGACTCCTCCTTTACCACTACGGTGGGGGGACATTCAGGCCCTTCCTTATCTGTGAGAAAGCAGAGCGGCTCTAAAGTACAGGTCTGGAATTGCCAGGGTCCTGCCTCCTCTCCCCCAGTGAAGCTATCCTTCACATTGCCCCAGTCTGTCAGGCCTCACCTTTCTTCCGCAGAGTCTTATCCTTGGCCATGAGGCCTAGGCCCATCATCTTGGGGCCTGCCCCATAGATCTGTAGCTTCTTCAGCTCTGGATTCTTTTCAATGTCTTCCTCTGTGGGTTCCGGCTGGGAAGAAAGAAGGAAATGAATGAAGACTGCTACCTGGGGCAGAGTGCTCCATCCTAAAAGAACACATAGCTTGGACTATATATCACTTGAGCTCATGCCAAGGGCTGAGGCATAGGCAGGCCAAGGCATGAATTCAGAGCTGCTTTTTGCAGACTGGGGGTGAGTGAGCCACTTCCTCATCCCTCTCTTGGAAAGGAATTAAAACGGCATCTCAGTTTTCCCAGCTATAAAATGAGAATATTAATTCCTATCTTATAGCTACAAGGGGGTTTGGGGATAACATACATAAAAAGAAAAATGTTTGGCACTACCAATAAATGGCAGTGACTAATGTGATCTGCTAAATCACATGCTTCAGTGAGCCCAGGGACAGTGTCTACCTTGTTCTCTGTTGTATCCCCAGTGCCTAGAAGAATGCCTGGCACGTAAGCTTCTGCCTGAAGCTAGGATACAGGTATAAGGAAAAAGAAGAGTTCTATCCCTATGAGCAGAGTGAATCAGGAAAGGAACAAGGCACGTAAGAAGGGCAGACGTAGAAAAGATATGTATGAATAGATCAAGACCCAGCTCAGAAGCTCAGCTGAGAGTGGAAGAAATATCAAGAGCGAAGCCAGAGAGAGGTGCACCACTGTTCAGAACTAGAGAACTAAGAGAAGAAAGAGTGGAACAGAGAACAGAGCCTTGGCCAAAGGGAGGGAGAGGACTCTCTCCACCCCTAAAGCTCTAAGTTAGAAAAAAGGAAGTACTCACATCAGGCTGCAGTCTCTTGGCCCGCCGGCCATAGCTGTTGAACTTAGAAGGCTGCACAGACTGTCGAAGGGGGATGCTGTGGGGTTTATATTCCTTGTCCTTCTCCTCATTATCAAATGGACGTGTGTTGCACTGCTGGGGACAGGTGAGGGGTAAGGGTCAGCGCATGGGGCCCTAGCCGGTAACAGCAACAACTTCCTTCTACCCTCACTTGGTGCCAACCAAAGCTGTGCTTGCACCCCCCTGACCCACACCAATAGGCCCTGCTCGATTGATCTTTACCACTGACACCAGCACATTTTGGGAATTCTTTTCATGCCTTTGCTTATGCCATTCCTCCTTCCAACCACCTCCCCTCAACTAAATCAGACTCCATCTCTTCCCAGACCTCTCTGGCCCAAAAGATCTCTCCCTCCTTTGAATTCCTCTATCGGTTAAAACCTTGTCACATAATGGACAGTAGACTGGCCCTGCAGCTAACACCAGGACCTCTGACTCTGGGCAGTGTGGGAAGAGAATAAGCACCACTAAAAAAGGGTAGAGTCTGGCTCCCAGGTCTCCAGTTCACTGAATCAGTTCCATTAAGAGGAAGTGTGGAAATCTGCATCTGGGAGGGAAAGCCTCCTTCCACCCTGGCCTGGCATCCTTACCACCAGGTTGGCTCCAGACTGGTACATCTCATAGGGGTAAACGATGCGTTCATAGTGGGAGCGTAGCAGGGAGCCAATGTTTTTGCCTGGTGGGTAGTTGAGGCGCTGGGCCACCCGGGCCCACCGACGGTCCTTGCAGATGGCTTCATAGCCACCTTCCTCCACCACGATCTGCAAGGACAAGCAGGAAGGGACGTGGATGTGCTGTGTGTATGCATATGAGGGAATAGGCCTACAGGAAAGGCAATGAGGACAACTCCAGCCCCTCACTTCCCTGGGGGCTACCCACGACTCCTACCACCACCACTCAGACTCAAATCGCAACAAGAGATGCCAAGAAGTTCTGATGACAGCTTGTGTGCCACCAGGCTGTGCCCCTTCCATTACAGCCTAGAGATCCAATATCCAAACCAAGGGAATCCCCAGAGTACCAAGGATATTAAGGTGTGGGGTGGGAAGAGGTTTGAGAAAAACCTGTTCTTACTTTGCTGAGGCTGTAGAGGTCCAAGATCCGCCGTTCTACATTAGGAATCTTTAAAGAGGAGCCCTGGATTTCCCAGAATTTGGCAATCTGGTCCAAGTAGTTCAGTTTCACTCTTGTCTGGGCCTGGAGAAGAAATGGCTCAAAGAGGCTGGCCTCCCCTTCCACCTGACCTCTGTCTTCTGGCCTAATCTTAGGGAAGCAGAAAGGTACAGAGCAACCCACTACCCAGGGCCTCTCCCAGTGAACTGGATCCCAAACTCTAGACAGTGCTTAGCCCACCTCTCTCTCATCTCTGCCACCTTCTAGTCAATAGGATAAGTCCAAGGTCCCAAAATGGAGAGGGTTGGGTCACAACAGCCAAAGTTTTACATCCAATCTCCTTGAAAGGGCTGTGTATCATCATCTCTTTTAGAGAAATCCTATTTCCTCAAGTCACACAACAAGTACCAAGAAATCTGAATGTCAGTATAATAAATATAGACAATAATATTGTAATTATGTAATATGATAAATATTGCTACGTTGGCAATCATATTACAATATACAAACATATCAAAGTAACACACCGTACACCTTAAACTTACACAACGTTACATTCTATTTTTTTTAAAAAAAGAGATCTGAATGACAAATAACTTAAGTTTTAGCTTTTCCTCTGCTACTGATTTGCCGTATAGCCTTGAGGAAATCAATTCTACTCTCTGGATCCCAGTTTTCTGATTATAAAAGAAATAAAATAACTGCCCAGTCCACTTACCCCAGAAGGGTGGACTTATGAGAGGAACAATGAAGGTTCTCTGGACGCTCCAGAATTGTATCTAAGCTCTAGGCATGTTTCAGAGAATAAAGGCTCCAAAAGAGCACATTCACCTCTTCTTACACACCATGAAACTTCTTCCACGGTGGCTGAAGGGTGAGAATGCATGCTAGATACAGAACGGCCTAAAGAACTTAGAGATGGTGTACCAAAGCAGCACTGGCACCTGGCCAACCCAGGACCCGATGCAGGCCAAAGATTCTAGAAACAAGGCTTCCCTGAAATCTCAGTGACCCAAGAAGGGGTTTGCAAGGCCCCAAGTCTATAAGCACCCCACCCTGGTCAGAAGGTCTGGTTCAAGGGAGAACTAGACAAGTCATTGCCATTCACTATCTTGCTCTAATTGTATTATGGGGAACAGGTACTATTCTTTCTATTTCACAGATGAGGAAAACTAAAGTCTATTTGTAGAAAGACACAACCTATGGCTCCTTAACTGTGAGAACCTCTAACAGGCCAGGAATTCGACTCCCTCCATCTCAGTCCCTTACCTTTCCAACCTTGGCTTCATCCCTACTCCTGTCTCTCATCAGCCAGCATGATCTCTCTAGAAAACCTGCCCCTGTCTCATGCTAGGTGTCATCTTTCCCTAGCTGTACCCCTACAGACCTAGTCAGATCCATTTCCCTAAGGAATTTGTACCCCTACAAGAGATGATTTTTGCCCTGATCAGAACAGCACCTAGACAGACCCTAGAATACTGGTTCTCAATGAGGGGCAATTTTACCCTCCAGCAGACATTTAGGAATGCCTGGAGACATTTCTGGTTGCCATAAGTGGGAAAGGGTACCAGTGGCACCAAATGGGTAGAAGCTAGGGATGCTGATAAACATCCTACAATGCAGAAGAGGACAGCCCTCCATACCAAAAAATTATCTGGGCCAAAATGTCAATAGTGCCAAGGTTGAGGAACTGTGGTCTAGAAGAAAAGTATGCTTTCAGGTCATGGGTATTAAGTTGGGCCTAAGATCGCCCCCAGGACATCTAGTAAGGCTCGTGGATACATAATAATGACGGAGAGGGGTGGCAGCATACTTCCGACCTACATCCTGCATGGGAAACTCCAGGATCTTACCTGGAACTGCCTTCAGGGCATCCACTTTCATTACCCCAGGGCATTCTCAAGCCCTTAGTGGAAAACCTCACCTACCCATGCAAAGCGCCTGGACTTCCTGTACAGAACAAAAAGGAGAGGGAAAAGCCTGCCCGCCTGACCCCCTGCCCAAGTTTATAACCATTCCAGTCTCCAAAAAGACCAAATCTGTTTTGTTCCCACCCATCCACCTCACCTCCCAGCTTACCAAGCACCACGGAAGGAAGGTAGGAAGTACAGGGCTGTGGATGAATTGGATAATGAGGCCACATTCAGCTAGCCAAGCAAGAAAGGTCTCAGCCAGCCCATATTTCCCTTTTGTTGACCCAGGTAGAGGAGGTGAGCTGACAGGAGAGCTTCAGAAGAAGCAAACCTTTGTAGAAAAGGGAAATCCCAAGCCTTTAGACGATCAGATCAAATATGCTAAATGCCCCTGCTATTGGTTAAATTCAGAGCTCTAAAGCTTCCTCTATGCCCTCCATGCAACTTCACAGAGGAAAGAATAAAGGCCTAACTAGTAAAGTACCTTAGCCAGAGAAGGTATGAGGGAAGCGGGATCAGAGCTCAGGTATCCAATCTCCCAACCCCGCCACCAGCTGCTAGTCTTCTCACCTCTAGTTCATTCAGCCTCTGGATTCGGGGAGTAAACCTGAAGTTGTCCACTTCTACAGCAAAGGGTGGCTGCCAGTCCTGAGGGGGTGCAGAGGGGAAAGGGAGTTGGGTTATTCTAACATAGTGCAAGACCAGAGGGCACCAAAAGCAACTCAGCACCCCATTCATGCCTTCCTAGACCTCTAGCCACCCTAGACCTTTTAACCTTGCAAACACCCAAATCACTACCACCCCCCCCCCCCAACAGAACTCACAACAGGGCCTGAGTAGCCCCTCAAGTCCAGACCAAACGTCCCATGCACATGCTCTGGTAAACTTCTCCCAAGTCCCTTCCAAAAGTACAGTGCTAGGATTTCCAGAAATAGAGAGTTGCGGCCCAAAACAATTGACCTCAAACTCTCCCTACACCCACATTTACCATTCATCTCCTAGGCATGTGCTGTAGGACACAGACTCTGGAAGTACTGGAAAGCACACAGGACCTGGAGTCAGAAGACCTAGGTTCATGTTCTAGCTCCACTACTTACTAGCTATGGGATTTTACCTTTCTGAACCTGTTTTCTTATCTGTAAGGTGAGAATATGAACACTTGCCTTGGCTTCCTCACAAGCCTGATATGGAAAATTAAACTGATTTCCAAATGAAAATGTTATTCAAAGGAGTCGTCATTAAGACTTCACATCTAAGACTGACCCCACCACCCAACACACATGCAGGGGAGCTCAGCTCTGGCAGGATTTAAAGGTTTGGGCCTTTAATGTTCTCTCAGTTTAAAGGGCCTGAGCTAGACACTGCAGGGAAGAACAAGAAACAGGAAGCAAGAATCTGCATCACTCACCCAATCTGGAAGGCTTCCTGTGGGTCCTCTCTCAAACACTTGCCCAGTATAGGAAGAGGCAGGGGAGGAATCGGGGTGGGGTGGGGTGTAAGTGCTGGAAGCCTGACTGTGGTGGCAAAGAATGGGAGGATCTGGGGAACAGGGAAGTCAGGAAAAGATAATGAAAGTGGGGGAGGCTCTGCCCTGCCCAGCTGGAGCTTGTTGTGTCCTACCCAAAGGAAGGCTGTGGAGAGCCCCCTCCCCAATGACCTCCCTCCGAAAAACTCCCATGCAGTCCTCTCCTCCCCAAAGCTCTGGCTCCTGCTGGGGGGCGGTGAAAAGAACCTAGAGTAACCTAGACCAATGCTTTCATTTTATTAATGGAGAAAGTGAGGCCCCTGAGAAGAAATACGATCTCTCCCAAATCACATGCTGAGTTAGTGGTAGAGCCAAGACTAGAACCCATGTCTTCTGACCTCCATCTGGTCCAAAGCTCTTTGCACTACATCAAGCTACCAGCATTCATACCCACATACACACAAATGGAAGGAGGCGGTGGGGGGGTGGTAAAGAAGAAAAAGCTGTTGGCCTCTTCTGCACGCACACTTTTAGAAAAGGGGCTAGAGGACTCATACCTGAATGCGCACATACCACTCCCCACAACACACACACACACACACACAAGCAGGCAGCAAACACCTGGGGCTCAGTGAAGCAGGGGCAAAAAAAAAAAAAGTAGACTAAAATGGCATGGCTCAAGCCCAGACAAGCTTCCCATGCCCTCTTGCCTCCCATCAGTAGGGCACTCCCCTCAGTTTCCTAGGTAACCCAGGTAGAAAGGAGCTCAAACCCAAAATTCCAGGCACCCTTCTTTCCTGCTGAATCAAGTTCTAGATAAAAACAAGTGCATCACCAAGCAACCTGACAGGAAATGGCAGAACCGGAATCCTAGAGGAGAAGCTGTGGGTGCAAGTCCAGCAAACCACCCTGCCCAGCTCTCCCTCGGACCTATGAGCTCCCTCATCCTGCCTTTAGTCCCATACTCCTATGTGCCAAATACTTGCTATGTCAATATTATCAGGATGATGATAAAAACGTTGGCTACCTGAGGCAAGAAGCAGGGCCCTTCCAAGCCCCCTTAGGTCTACTCCAGGATACCAACGCTCTCCTCCCACTCATCTTCCCCAAAAGTAGCGGTCACCTGTCTAGCAATTCAGACCCAAATCGCCTTCCTCAGGCAAACCTTCAATTTCCAAGCACCTATCCATACAGACTTCCACCCTAGGCCCAAACACCACTTGAGTGAGTGCTTCAAATTCCAGCCAGAAGGCCCCCCTGCCTAAATTTAGGTAGCCTAGGAGCAATCCTACAGGAGAAAAAAACCAGAACAAAACCAGAGAGAGGCAGGTCTCTTGGACTGGAGGGAAGCACACTGTTGGGGTAGAGAAGCAAAGCACAACAAATCATGGCCCCCTGCAGGTCACACACACTCCAGGGACACATCACTTTTCCCCTTTCTAGTCCCCCAAGGAAGGGTAAAAACACCTGCACAAGGCCAGCCTGCTCAGATAACTCTAAGGTAGGAAAATGGAAAGTGAGGCTTCAATTACCCACTATGTCAGATAGGCCTCCTTCCCACCGGCCTGCCGGACCACTTAAGGGAGCGCCTCCTTGAGGCTGCCCAGGACTCGTGTCTCCTTTCTGCTAGCCTTCTTGACCTCTCACTACCCACTGCCACTCCCTCATCATGGACAGGGATACCTCAGAGATCTGTGGCCAGGCTCCAACAAGGAAGAGATTAGCTTACCCAACACCTCCCAGAGGATCCATTTGAAACCAGCCTAGATCTGTGGCTGGACACCAGAAAGCACCAAGTTGAATAAGGAGGCCTGTGGTGCCCTCCTCAGGTGGCAGTAAGGCTTCCCATCTCAGTTCATCCAGGAGACACCCACTCAAAAACACCCTGGTCCAAACAAACTCAATTCCTGCCCTTGGAATCCCACATGGTGATTAAACAACATCTATCATCATTTATCCTCCATGAGAGCAAGGCGGCAACCTATTCTAGCCCTGGGGGTCTTCTGGCCTGAAGCCAGGCCCAGGAGCAAAGATAGGCCCTTGTCACCGACCTCTGGAAATCAAGTGTTCCAAAGGAGGCAGACTTCCTAACCTCCACTCTGTTTCTGGGAGTCCAAGAATACCCTATTCTCTGGAACCTCCTACATCCTTGGATAGAGCAGAGTAGAAGTCTTCTGAGAAGGACTCATAACCCACCCCCAAGCTGACTGGTTCAAGCCTCTCCATAGAAGTCTGGAGACTGATGTGCAGGAAAGGCCCTGACATTGCCTTCAACTAGGAAAAGAATGGGACAACTCCCTGAATCCACCTCAGGGGAGGCAGGTAGAGCATTCCCCGTGAGACTGATCTATCAAGCCAGGATATTATCATAAATGGATTGGTCTGGCAGGGTGTGAGTAAATATGAGTCAATCCACATAGGAGCAAACCAATGACCACATCAAACACCTTCGCAGTCACAATAATTACCACTTACCTAGTGCCTACTACACACAGACGCTATCTAGTTCAATCAGTTCTCGAAATAACCATTCATGGGATTCATTTCACAGGCTCAGAGAAATTACTACTTGTCCAAGGTCACAAAGCTGGTAAGCTGCAGAGTACAGTTTTGAACCCAGGTCTGCCTCCCTTCAGAGCTGTGATCTTCCCACTACACCACACTGTCTGCATTAAGGGAAGTGATGACAGTAGATGGGAGAAAGTCCTTATTTAGCGTAGCCTTGACCTAAGTGGTCCTGTCTAACTAAGAGATGTGTGGGTGCCTCTCTGTGAACTCTCCCCGGCCCACTAGGCATTCCTGTCTTCGACCCTTACCACGACTGATTCTGAAAGGCAGGGCAGGAGTAGGGGTGGGTCTCTGGCCCCAGGTCACTTGGGAGCCTCACACCACGAGAGGACCCCTGGCCCCAGTAGACTTTCTCCAACCCGCGCCGCATCTACAATGGTCCCAGCCACCCCGTTCCCCCACATCTCGAGCTGCCCTCCGCCCCAGACTTCTCCGCCGGCTACCCTAGTTCTTCATCGCCGGCCTCACTGCAAGCGACCACCGGTCCCGGGCCTTACCGCGGGTGGGCGGATCTTGCAAATGCCCGACTTCTCAGCGATGGGTCTGATTTTTGCGATGTAGCCAAGAGGGTCTCGGAACTCGGCCCAGCTAGGCTCGAACACCGGGCACTCCGGCGGCGGTAGGAAGTCGTCGGACCCCGGCTCCATGGTGGGCCCTAGGACTAGAGGGCTCGGACCTCCCTTAAGGACTCATGGCGGACGCCACTGGATGAAGCCGAGGCACTGCTCGGAGACTAGGCCCTAAGCGGGGCGGCCGCCGCCCGCCGGGGGCCTAGGGGGCGTGTGGCTGCCGCGCTCTGAGAGGCTCAGGCTGACGCTACTGTTACCGCCTCTTCTTTCTGCTCCGTTCCTTGCAAACCCTGCCGCTGCCTCCCGACTACCGGAGCCTTCACCACCACAGTTACCTCCCCACCGCCGCGGCCTCCATCGCCGCCGCCGCCATCTTGGTTTGTCAGCGTCTCCCCCGCCCCTCACCACAACAAACCGGATCCCTCCGCGGAGGTGTCCCTCCGAGCCTCGTATACTTTGCGTGAGGCCAAGCCGTAGGAAGCCTTCATCCCGTGGGGATCTAGCTGAATCGGTAGGCATGGATTTCCTATTTGGAAGCGGGAACTCAAAAGCACCTCCCAGACTGAGAGTAAATAGTCCACCTCAGCGGCGGAGGAACAAAATTGTAATTAAACTGCCGGATCCTTTTTCCGGATGCACCGGCGGTGCACGTTTAAAGGCCAATGGTGCGCATGCGCGTTATGGAGACAGGCCGGAAGAGGAGCTGGCGTTGGTGGGTGGTGAGCCCCAACTGGCACCCCCTCGATGACCTCAGCCCTAGCGCAAGCTCCGCCCCAACATTCTCTCCGTCTCCGGAGTCTTTCCGGTGCTGGCCCAGGAAGGTGGCTTCGGGTGCCTGATTGCGAGGGACCCCTTCTGCTGGCCCGCAGACGTACTGAGCTCCCAGCTCTAGGCGCTTACACCTCTGGGGCTTTAGAAGAAGCCAGGCAGGAGGCTGCTCACACCACGGGGATTATGGATTTTTAGAATCCTGGGTCCCAAGGAGAGGAAGGAAATATTTATTTCGTCCAAGGTTATGCGTAGAGGCTTCTCAGAGATGGTGCTTACATCCTCCCCCCAAAGAGTCATTGTCAGTCATCCTTTTAATGAACGTTTTCAGCTGTTCTGTATGCACTTTTATTGTGTGCATATTTGTAGCGTGTACTCCCACAAAACAAGCCTGAGTGTGTATATATATATTAACTATCAGATGTTTAGCAACAGTGTATTTATTGCCTACCAGTGCCCACCGTATGAAACACCTACTGTTTGCCCATTTGTGAGCCTACAGTGTACTTATCAAACATCCGCGTACATGGATTGTATTTGTTGTATAAAGCCCCTGTCATATGCATTTGGGTACCTACTATGTGTACCTCTACTCCTATTGTGTGTATGTTCATTGAGCAGTTTCTGAATAGGTTTATTGCAACTATTTTGAATGAGTATCAAACCAGTACTTTGCCCATACATCAGGCATCTATTCTATTTGAGGATCATCTATTTATCAGTTGTGGGCCTACTGCATACAGTTTGAACAACTACTGTGCACATATTAGAGTACTTGTGTACATGCTGATTTAGTGCTTATTTTGTTTTCCCCCATCAGACTGTGTGAATTCCTTAAGGGCAGGGATCATGTGGCCTTATACATCCTTAGCACTTGGCATGGTAAGCAGTAAATTAATGTTGAGTAAACAAAAGAAAAATGAATGTATATTTTTGAGCAGCCTTAGTATATATTGACTGAAAATAATATATACTCTTTGAAAACATTTCCTGTGTATATTATCCATCTACTATAAGCTTGAATACTTTGACGGGGGTGGGGAGTGTCATTCCTTCATTTAGTTAATTGTTCCTAATCATATACTGTGTCCCAGTTAGGTACATCATTCTGTATTCTTCAGGACTGCATTAAGGACATCCTATCTGAGGAAGCAGGGCACACCGGTAGGAGCTCACACCCTGGGGTCAGACAAGCCTGATTTCTAGTCCCACCAGCTCTGCCATTTTCTAGTTATGTGACCTCGGGCAAGTCCCAACTTCTGAAACTGAAGTGGGGATGATAATAGCTACCTTGCAGGATTGTTGTATAGTACCTGGCAGATAGAAGACCCTCAGTATCTGTTAACCATTATTTTTATTTCTGAGAGTCAACAACATGTCAAAACTCATTAAGAATCTCCTTTGTGCCAGGCATTGTGCGTAGTGATTTCATATTTTTTTTTTTTGAGGAAGATTAGCTCTGAGCTAACTGCTGCCAATCCTCCTCTTTTTGCTGAGGAAGACTGGCCCTGAGCTAACATCCATGCCCATCTTCCTCTACTTTATATGTGGGACACCTACCACAGCATGGCGGTGCCATGTCCGCACCCGGGATCCGAACCGGTGAACCCTGGGCTGCCGAAGCCGTACATGCGCATTTAACCGCTGCGCCACCGGGCTGGCCCCTGATTTCATATTTGTTTAATCACCTGAATTTTTATATTACCTTGAATGTTTGGAATCTTTATCCCCATTTGGCTTGTTAGGAAATTTGTCTCAAGCAATACAAATAGTGACATCTCTTTTCTAGTTTTCTAGGTGTCAGAGGAAACCTCAGCCTCTCTCCACCAGAAGCACAGATGAATGACCCAACTGAATAACTATCTGGACAGGAAACAGAAAGCTAGGCGAGGTGGTGCTAATAACAGTAAAATCACTAGCCTCTCATATGTGTAAGCATCCTACAGCCCACATAGCTCTTTCATACCAATTATTTCCCTTAATCTTTGCAACAGTTTTGGGAAATATGTAGGTCAATTCACCCATTCTGTAGATGAGGAAACAAGTTCCAGAAAGATTAAACAACTTGCCCACTGTTACACAGGAAGTTGCTGACTCCTGGTCAAATGTTCTTCCTGTCATTTGCTCTCACCAGGAATAGAACTGGGCAGGAGAGGAATGAAGAAGGTGGGAGAATATGCCAAATCCTGGGCTGAAGGAAGTTCAGCCTTTCCATCTGGAGGCAGCTCAGTGAAGGGCAAAGAGCAGGAGTCAGGACTCAGGAGACCAGGTTTGGGGTCTCAGCTTAGCCCAGGTTTCCCACAGCCTTCTCTGAGGTCATTAGCCCAGACATCCTCCCAGCATCCTAGAAGGGCAAATGGAAATCGCGTGGTCTTTGAAGCCATTCAGATCCAATTCATTCATTCATAAATATTTCTAAATTCCTGCTATGCACCAGGCACTTTTCTGGGCCCTGGGAATATAATAGTCCCTACATGGACAGACATGGTCCCTACTTTCCTGAATCTGACATTTACCCACTGATATCTGCCAAGTACCTCACCTCCCTGAACCTTGATTTTCTCTTTTATCCAGTGAGGCTATATAATCCCTTCCTTACAGGGTAGTTATGAAGATTAGCGATAATATGGCTGCCATTCATCAAGGGCCAGGTGCTATGAAATAGGTATTGTTATCCCTGTTTTACAGATGAGGCGACTGAAGCTCAGAAAAGTATAAGCTTACCCAAGTCACATGACTAGTAAGTGGCAGAACCAGAATTGAAACCCAAGTCTGTCTGACTGCCATACAATTCTGCCTGTAAAAGTGTCAGATGGTGTCCCCCCCACACACACATACACGCTAAGGTGCTCAGGAAACGGGTTCCTGTCTCAAGCCTTGGGTCTTGCTGGGGACCAACCTGAGTCTGGGCACTGCAGGGTTAAGAATTGGGAAGCATTAGGGAGCTCACCCTGGACTGGGGGCTAGGTTGGCTTCACCCATCCACCTGGGAGAGAGGCTCTGGCATGGACCTGGGGCAGAGCAGTGACTGGAAAGCTCAGCCAGGCTCAGGACCACACTCACCCCATCCATGTTTTCTGGATGAACTGGATAAGAGTGACTTTGTGCCTCACTTTTTTGATTTGTAAAATAGGTTTTTTAGTTTTTAGTTCTGAAGTAGGTATGAGATGTGAGTTCTAACTCCTAAATAGCTCTGGAATCCATCCCCTCCCCCCATGCCATTTTCTAATCTTCTACTCCCTGTGAAAGTCATTTAGTATCTCTAGCCTGGATTATGAAAAGAGACTCCTCAAGGTATCAAGGTATCTGTGTGAACTCACCTGTGTGAACATATACACACACACATACACATATATGTATATATAGAGAGAGATTATGTGCTTCATGCATATAAATAATATATTCAAAACAATAATTCCAAGTGAATTATGATAGTAATAGATTATAACTCATTGAGTAAAATAAAAATCCCTAACTCCACACTGGTATAAATAAGTAAAATGAAGGAAAAGGGTAAGTTCTTCTCTAAAGGATAGAGTTAGAAAATCATCAATAGATACTCAAGCTTTTTCCAAATAAAAAAGCAAACTCTTAAAACATAGCTATAACACTTAGTGCCCAAATCTTGGTTCCTAAATGCCATTCTCAACTAAAAAGAACCAGGACTCCTTGGGGAAAGAATCACTGATTCCAGAGCTGGGGCAGGGAAAGTACAAGATGGGCCTGGAGCATCTTGTGGTGCCAGAAAACAAGCAAGTTCTCAAAGAAAGATGGAGACCTGCCAAAAGGACACAGGAGCCAGCTTGGAGGGACTCTTGCTTGCCAAATCTGGGACATTTTTAATATCAAAATAAAGAATTATATTAATAGGTTATATATAACTCATTGAATAAAACAGACAACCATGAGTCCATGAGGATATAAATAAATAAATGTAGAAGGGAAAGCTCTCCCCGATAGTGGAAAGCCAATTAATCCATGTCAAAAGAATGATGGCGTTTGAAAATCACCATTTGGCAACCTGGAGAGTCATCAGTGAATGCTAATACTGGTGTGTGAAAGTTTGAGGAGTAACAGGATATTTACATAATTTCAATGCATCTCTCCACAAGATACTCATTAATCACAAAGGGAAAAATAGCAACTTTACAGTGGAGACACTATGTAGCCCAATGTATCACCTGGTCTTACTTTAGCTCCTATTGAGGCTTGGGTGAGAAAACCTGTTGGCAACAGAGGAATAAGGAGACAGGGACTGCCCACCTCTGTGCTTTGGGATATGCTGTGCCCACCACCTGGGCTACCCTCTCCCATTCCTTTCTCACTATTCCACTAAAACATCACACAGCTGTGCACCTCCAGGCCTTTGCATATGCTACTCTCTCTGACAAATGCCCTCTTTACTGGGCTAATTCCTACTTACCCTTCAAGATTTAGCTAAAGAGGCAGTTCCAGAAACCCTTCCCTGATCCCCCTATCCCAAGCTGGGTTTTCCCTTCTTTGTGCCTCCTTCCTGGGCCTGTGCTTCTTTCTGGGCCTATACTTATTATTATATTATATTGACATTATCTCCACCAGCCTGGTCACTCCTGAAGTTCTTGTCTTGCACTGTCCAATATGGTAGCCACTACCCAC